GGAGTTTTTATCATGAAGAGATGTTTAATTTTATCAAATGCTTTTTTTGCATATAATGAGATGATCATGCAGTTTTGATCATTATGTTGATGTGGTATATTGTGTTTACTGATTTACATATATTGAACCTTCCTTGCATTCCTGATATAAATCCTACTTAATTATGGTTTATGATCTTATGTGTTGTTGGATTTGACTTGTTAGCATCTTGTTGAGAATTTTTGTATCTGTGTTTTTCAGGAATATCCATCTATAAAAAGCTGGTAAAATCAGTTTGTTCTTGGCCTTTTATTTCTTGTGACATATTTCATTACTGACTCAGTCTTGTTACCTGCTACCAATTTGTTGAGTTCTTACATGTTCTCATGGTTTAATTTTTATAGCTGTGCATATATAGAAACACATTTCTTCTAGCTTTTCCAATTTATTGACTTATCTTTGTTCATAATAGTCCTTAGTGATCATTTATATTCTTAAAATACCAGTTACAGTGTTTGCATTTTCATCCTGTTTTGTTGGGATCATCTCTTTCTTTCCTCTCCTCCCCCATCTTTTTCATGCCAGCATGTGTGCACACATGCTGTACCACTGAGCTACACTTCTAGTTCTCATGTATAAATGTATAAATTTTCATCTCTGCTTCTGCTCTGCTGTCTGCTATATTTTCCTCCCATGGTGAACTTTGTTCTTGTTATTTCATTTTAGTTCCTTGTTTTGTGTTGTTTTAGACCTTTTTTAAAAAAATGTAGGCTGTAATGTATTCAAACTTCCCTCTGTATTGCTTTTGCTTTAGTCTGTAGAATTTGGTATGTTGTTTCAATTCCATATGTTTTAAAATATTTTAAAATTTCTCTTTTGATTTACTCTTTGACCCAGTGTTCATTTAAGAACATGTTTAATTTCCATGTGCTTATGTGGTTTCTAAAGTACTATTGTTGATTGTTAATTTTATTCCAGTCTGATCAAGGATACATGTGCTGATTTTTACCTTAAATTTGTTGGGATTTTATTTTGTGATCTAAAAAATTGGAGAATGTTCCACATGCTGACAAGAATAACGTTTATTTGGTAACTGTTGGATGAACTGACCTGTATAAATGTCTGTCCGGCCCCTTTGGTCTGATATATATAAACCACACACACAGTTTACCTCTGACATTGGTTTCTTTATTGGTTTTGTGTAGGTGATTTTTCCATTGATGAAAGTGGAGTTTTGACTTTATTAGAATCTCCTTTTAGATCTAATGTTTGCTTTATAATGGTGGACTATGTGTGCATGTTTGTTTATATGTTACTTTCTTTTGTTTAATTGATCATCTTTGCCTCTTTCTAGTTTTTGATTTAAAGCTTCTTTAATCTGCTGGGCATAGTGTGGTGGCACATGCCTTTAATCCCAGCATTGGAGAGACAGAGGCAGGTGGATCTCTCAGATTAAGGCTAGTTGGGGATAGTCTACATAGTGAGTTCTAGGCTAGCTGGGGCTACATAGTGTTACACCCCCCCAACAGAAAAGCAAAGAAAAAAAGTCTCTTTAATCTAATGTCAATGTCAGTATAGAAACTTCAGTTTGGACTTGTTGTAAACAGTATGCCTTTCTTCTATCCCTTCACTTCTAGTCAGTTACTTTATGGGTGAAGTAAGTTGCTTAGCAGAGCATATCATTGAATCTTGCTACTTTTTTCTCCACTGACCCAGTCTATGTCTTTTATTTGGAGAATTTAATGTTTATGTGCAAGCTAATTATTGAAGAGTAATGATACAGTCTTGTCGTTTTTTAGTGTTTTTTTTTTTTTTTCTGGTCTTTTTTATATGTACTTTGCCCTTTCTCCCTCTCATGTTCATTTCTGTGGTTCGATGGTTTTCTGTATTGATAGGGTTAAGAGTTACTCATTTTCTCTTGGGTGTCTATGTTGCCACCGCATTCTGTATTTACTTTTACTTCTGTGATGGTGGTCGTCACTTTGCTACTAGTATTAAACTCCCACAGGCGTTTCTTCTAAAGATGATCTGATGGTAGGTCTCCCTCAGTTTTGTGTGTCTTAGAAAGACATCATTTCTCCTTCATTTTGAAGGATAGCTTTGTGGGTGTATATTCTTGGTTGATAGTCCCCATCCCCCACAACCCCCAACTTTGAGTAATTCTATCCTGTGAGGTTTCTGCTGTTTCTTTGTTAGTCTAGTAGGAATTCCCTTATATGTGACATCATGCTTTTTTCTGTTGCTGTTTTTGGAATTCTTGTTTTCTTTTTAGCAACTTGACTAATATGACTGGGAGAGTTAGTTCTCTTTCTGTACTATAACAAAGTACTTAAGATAATCAGTTTACAGAGAGAAAAAGTGTTTTGGCTCACAGTTTTGGAGGTTTCAGCTTATGATTGAGACAGCACCTATGAAAGGTATTCACTTAATGTCTGCAATGTGAAAAAATAACAAAATGTCATAATCCCCTTTGTAGGCACACTTTTCAGTGACTTAAAATCCCCAATTAGACCTCTCCTCTTGAATTTTCTTTTGCTTCACTTCATGCTGAAGACCAACCCTTCAAACATGAGCCTTTGAGAGACATTCCAGTCCAATCTTGTAGCATATAGGATGGTTTTTGGTCAAGTCTTAGAGGTCTTATGACTATCCATATCTTTTCCTAAGTCTTAGAAAATTTTTAATAGTTATTTAATTGAATAGGTTTCTACCTCTTCTTTATCTCCTCTTTTAGAATACTGATAATGCAAATGTTCCCTCACTTCATCATCTCCCCTAGATGTCAGAGGTTTCCTTTGTTCTTAACTTTTTCCCTTTTCTTTTTGTTAGTTATTTCAGAAAGGCAACCAGATTCTGATATGGATTGTGTTGAATCTGTAGATGAATTTGGGGAGTATCTGTATTAGTACTCAGTCTTTGAACCCATGAAGAGGGGGTATATCTTTCCAATTATATAAAGCTTCTTTGAAATTTATCAGCCCTGTTTGATAGTTTTTGGTGTACGAGCCTTGTACTCTTATGTCAAATTTATTCATAAATATTTTTGATGCTATTAATTTCTTAAATTCATTTTGGATTGTATCTCTAGCATACAGAAGTATAGTAGCATTTAAAAATATTGATCTTACATCATGCAGCCTTGCTGAACTTGTTTATGAGCTCTAGCACTTTCTGTGCATTCCTTAGGGAATTTTTGTTTGTAGGATGATGCCATATATAAATAATTTCACTACTTCTCTAGTCTGCATACCTTTTTTCTTTCTTCTTTTTCTTGCCTTATGTTCGTTGCTAGAACCTCTAGTTCAGTCATTGTTGAATAGAAGTGGTGAAAGTGCACATTCTTGGCTTCCTTGATCTTAGGGAGAAAGCTTTCATTCTGTCACTATGAAGTATGATAATTAAGTGTGGGTTCATAAAGATGAGGTTATTAGGTTGATTAAGTAATCTTCTGTTCCTAGTTTGAGTGTTTTATTATGAAAGGGTATGGGCTCTGTCACATGCTTTTCTGCATCTATTGGACAATTATGTATTTTTCTTTTAATGTTTTAACATAATATGTTACTGCATTAGCTCAGGCTGCCATAATAAAATATATTACTAGATGGTTTACAAACTGTAAATTTATTTCTTGTAGTTCTGAAGGCTAGGAAGCCCAAAATCAAGATGCCAGTTGATTTTTTTATTAAAATTCAATTTAAAAAATTATTATTTTTCTGGTGAAGACTCTTTGCCTTGCTTGCAGTTGGCTCCCTTCTCAGTGTCTCTTCACTTGTTGCAGAGGTCTGATGGCCTTGTCTTCCTCTTGTCAGGTCACCAGTCATGTTGTTAGGGCTTTTGATTTCATTTAACCTTAGTTACTTCCTGAAATTGCATCCACATTGAGCCATATTAGAGGTTACTAGGGGTTAAAACCATATGAATTTTGGTGGGATGTAGGGTATAATTGATTTTTGGATATTAACCTAATCTTACATTCCTGGGATAAATCTTACTTGGTTATGGCGTATAATCCTTTTTATATATTACTGGATTTTGTTTTCTAATATTTTTATGAGGATTTTCGCATATGTATTTATTTGGAGTACTGACTTGTGGCTTTCTTTTCTTGTGAGATCTTTGTGTGATTTTGGTTTTAGAATTAAGTAGTGTCCCCTATTATTTTTGTTGGAAGAATTTATGAAGCATTGTGTATGGAAATTTGGACATAAATACTTATGGTAATGGTAGCTGCAGTTTTCTGACCAAGGTTGTTAAGTTACAAGAGTCTTGTTTCTTTGGAGGGTCTAAGGGTAAATGTGTCATAGGTGAAGTGTGGATAATGATATTCTGGTTCTGTAAATGCTTAACTGTTCTATCTTAGAGATGATGTCTAAGATCAGTGTATAGTTTGTAAAAATTCTGTGTGGTGGCATTTGTCTTGTTTAATTATTAATAGAAGTCACTTAATTTTATAGTAATAAAAAAGTTTTTTCGTTGTGATTTTTTTTTTTTTTTTTT